GATATGGACAAATGCTACTCTGAGTACTGAGCACCAAGTACTTTACTCAAATACTTTTTTGAGTACCAAAGAATTTAATTACTACTTCAACTGATGCCAAACGATAAGCTGAAGTAGTGATTGAATTCCCAATAGTGATTCAATTTAAGTAAAATACTTAGTACTCGGTACTCAGGTAACATTTGCCCATGACACTACAATTTGTAGTCTCTTTAGATGTGAATGTAGTTTGAAATGTTCTGTGGAACTGATTATAAGCTTTGTTAAAAATTTATTTTTTTAAACATTAACTTGCACATTTGAACAATGGTCAACAGACTGCACAGTCATTTAGATTGTTTAAGGATCTCTTCCTTAACTCTATTTCAGTCTTCTGGTAATCAGATATGTATCAACTGTAGCCATTTCTCATATTAAACTGTTAGTATGATCGATAAATTTTGTATAATATCGATTGAAAAGAGTCAGGTGGAGAGCAGTACTAAGCGGAAATTTGCTACTCACGTACCAAAGTCGTTAAGTTTCATTCATAAACGATCTATTTATTCATCTATACGGGAATGAGATAGCTCATTGGGTAGGACACATGCTTTATATGCTCAAGGTCCTGGGTTCAAATCAGGCTGATGAAAGGAAATTATTTATTTATTTACATCAGCCGTGGATTGATCCTTGTGTCGAGAGACCCTTCTGGAGCACAGCACAACCAGGCTCTATAATGTGAGTACTCTTAATTAAAGAATTAATTAAAGGAGAAAACCCGGTGTTAGAATGTGATCTCGGTCCAATCATCTCCATGCCCAACCGTTAATATTGAAACAATACTCCTGGAAATACTGAGCCTGATGAGTTATAGTGGTATAGTTTTTTTTTTTTTTTTTTTTCATTCTTATCTTTCTCCCTTACGTACATGTTACACTTCTTTCTGTGGTCAGTAAGCTCTTATAAATCTTATAATGAAATGAATAAAGTCTAATAATTAAATTATTGAAATCTAAAAAATAATTATAATTTGAAAGACTAAATATATATATATATATATATATATATATATATATATATATATATATATATATATATATAGGTGACAACTATATTCCTCAGACGGAGAAATGTACATTATCTCGGGCTAATATTCGACAGGAGGATGGCCTTGGGCCCACATTCAAAATTAAACGAAAAACTTTGAATAAGCGACTGAAAATACCACACTTAATGTTTTCCAAATAAAAATTGAAAATCAGACAAAAACTTGACACATCATACACTTACCTACTTAAACCCATATGGACATAGGTTTCACATATTTACGATTCTGCAATAAAGATGAACTTACAAAAACTACAATGATTACAATCCAAAATTTTAAGACACCTAATAATTACCGTTCCCTGATACGAATACAACAAAATTTTACATACCGACATCAACTATCGACCAACACATATGCACTCTTTCTCTATTTCTGATTTCATCTTAAACTACAAGACATCACAGCGAACCTGTCAACTAAATGGCCATAGCTGACATGGCTACCAGGAGACGACTGAAAAGGAGCTGGATACGAGATCTCCTTTTTTTGAATTAAGGAAGTATAACCAAACCAGGAAGAGGTGCTGTCGGCTAAAAATCTTCCTGATGTCTAAAATGCCAAATTTCTGAACAATAGCAACACATCCGCTTATTGTCAAGATTACGAAAGATGTGGATGAAAATTTGTAGAAAAAAGATTAAACTATGTGAAATAGAGAAAAATTTAAGTCAAGAATTCAAATATTATTTAATCCATCACCTTATTCTTAATTTAGTATAGATTATGAAAGATATTTAGGATGTCAAAGGCCCGTGGCCAAAATGTCCTACACCTGTTCCTTACTAGAAGGAGATAGTTGAAGCGACATAATTAAGCGAGTTTCTCGGTCTTGAGCCGTTCCTGAAGAAAGAAAGGTCCCATCACCTAGCCGTTTATTGTACAAAAGGATATCATTCACTTACCCAGAGTGATAGTAAAAATTAACTTCGTAAATCTTCCACAAATTAAACAAAAATAATCTAAAACAAATCACACAAGTCAGTGGGAGCGAGTGTGGATTAATTTTCAAATAAAAATTTGTTAAGAAACTTCCAAAAAAAAAAAAAAATTCTATTTCCTAGGCAATAGCCAAACAATGAAAATGCTTGATTAAATAAAAAACAAAATGTGTTAATTATTGGGAGTAGCGATCTTCAGTCTCAAAATTTCTAATTTACAGTTGATAATTCTATAATGAAATTTTTGATTGATGAGACATGAATGAGAATTCCTTCACCACAACGAACTTAACCTTAAATAATCTAAATCATTTAATTATTCCCATGACCGTCAATTCATTATTAGTCAAATTATTGGCAGAGCCGAATTCATTTACAAAAAAACAAAAAAAAAAACTTATTCTTCTGTTAAATAAATTTCAATTCAACATAACTATCATCATTTGGAATAGTCTAAAATTAAATTATTAAACTTTAAATCAGAATTAAACCAAAATCTAAGAAACACAAGCATTGAAGACAAACTTGAATAGTCATAAATTATTAATAAAATTAGGGTAGTTATGATTTTCAATATGCTGTCGGTCTTGATAAAATGTTGTAAAATCCATTTTTTTAAATAAACCACACGTAAAGAAGTTCCGCAATAGAGAGATCCCTTTTTGAGTAAAACTGGATTTTTTTTTTTTGGACATTAAAAGAATTTTAGTGAAATAGGGTGTTCGCAATAGTGGGCCTAGTGATGGATAGGTTGGAATTTAAATGTAAATAATAAGCTTCTAAGTTGATTTAAAGGTTCCATTTTTTTTCTAAATTGAAAAACAATACCATCTACAACGGTGTTAACAAAGATTGCTAAAAAAAAATTTAAAATGCCTGTCATTGTTGCTTCTATAGTGCTCTTGAGATCAGTGTGTTTCATACATTTCTACTAACAGTTTTGCTAAGATTAATTTGAATATTTATGTTATATTATTTTTATCGTTATCTTTATGGTTAAACAAAGAATTAACATTTTTTTTCTAGGCATTTCTATTACTGTTTTACACTAATAGGTGTTATTTTTAAATGGTGATTATACCTGCATAACTGAATATTTGTTTTCAATTGTAAAGTGATAAATAGAAAGAAGAGACAGTTAATGTTCTAAATGTCCAACCGATCTAATATGTACATTAAGCTACTTGTTAAAATTATTCTCCTACAATTAAATTTAAAAAAAAAAGTTTACAAAAATTCATTTTTAACCTATGAATTTGTAGAAGCTCACAACTTAATTTCACTAGTAGGATATTTGGTTACAGAGATAAAACCATTCCGATTACTAAGCAGTTTAACTCCAGTCTAACTTCTCACATCAAACCTCGTTTATTTTAATGTAACTTTATTCTCCATTTCTTTAAATAATAATCTGTTTCATTTAACAACGTTACAAAAAAATCCGAAAATCCATTGCTACCCACAAACAGTTCCTATGATTCCGTGATTCCATGCCCCTTAAAATATGTGATCTCCTAGTTTCCTTACTAATTTTCCGATGGCAATACTTCCTAGGTGTATCCCTTTTTCGAACCTTTTCAACCAATTACATTCTCCATTTGTTGACTCCTGTTCCTGTGTCCATTCGTTCAACACGAGATTCCAGCCATCAAACCTGTTCATTACTTCTCATATTTATTTATTTATGCCTCCCTTCCTTGCCTTTCGGCTACACGGGATTTTGCAGGGATGGCATATCACACACGTGCATGCCATTCCTGCTATTAAACAACAAATTAATTTTCAATTTTGTTTTGTTTTTCAAATATCTTCTTTTTTTTCCATTATTTTCAATATATTAGTCTGGTGGCCTTCTATTAGCAGGTTCTCTTCCTAGATTAAAGTGAGAGGGTCCCAGAGCAACTTTCCACCCGTACACAAAATCTTTGTAATACGGGTAGTTCTGCTCCGTCACTAACTCGGGAAATTCATCCTCCGTGAGGCCATAGATTCCCATTTTTCTTATCATTTCGGCCCTTAGTCCATCAAAGGCGGTGCAGTTGACGATAATATGCTCAGCCGTCTCCGGTACTCCGCAAGTGGGGCATAGGGGATCTATGTCTTTTCCAAAACCATGTAACTTAAAGCGAAAACCCCCATGCCCAGTAAGGACATAACTTCTCATATAACTGTTCCCTTTCAAAAAAACCTTCTTCATGCGTGATACCTTGTTTTGGAATTCCCTATCAACGTCCATACGCAAATTCGCATCCTTGACCTCATTTAAACATAATTTATCTATCCATCTCCTCAGTAATCAATCTTCCGAATATGTGTAAAATAATGTTTCACGTTTTTTTCAGATCTGTCAATCGCTTTGATGTTATCTGACAGATAGTTATATATCACCCACATTGTTCATGCGTACAAATAAGTGAACAGGCATATCTTAATTTATCTATGGTTTCATATATCTACCAGTGCCTTTTCTTTATTGTAACCTCAGATCTAGACAATCTTGTAATCTAATTTATTTCTTTTTTTGTATAGTAATATTTTATTGAGAATAAAAAATACACTTTGCCTCAATTGAGGGCATTGAGTATTTAGGATGTATGAAACACAAATATACCATACATACAATTAAATAAAACCAAGATTATAACAAAAGAAAAGAAAAGAGAACTCGGAATACCAGAATTGATCAAACATGAGACAACATTAAATAAAAAATAAATAAATAAAAACACATTCATACTTATTTACAATATTTATATTATACGAAGGTCTTTAGACTGGAAGGATTGGATGCGCTTGATGTTCGAAAATGTATTTGTCCCCCACAGTTCAAGTCCGTAGGTCCATATGGGTTTTAGTATAGTCTTGTATATTAATAGTTTGTTTTCAGTTGAGAGGTTAGATTAATTTATTTCTAATGCCAGACAATTGCCATTAAATTGTAAATTGTATTATTCTAAGGGAACTAAATCCCAGAATAAAATTTATTTTTCTTCTTCTTCTTCTACAACTTATTTGAAAGTGAAATAACAATTGTTTTTTATTATCAAAAAAATCGATAATGAAGTATTTTTAGGCCAACTTTTGAACGTAACAAATGCTATGGTTCTTAGAGATATTTGTACACTAATGGTAAAACTTGCAGGAAAAAAAAATGATGGAACAGCTAGAAATACACAAGTTCAACCAAGTATATGCAACCATACTGCAGCTATATGATGTTCCCATCGACCCCCTCCACAATACGGTTTGAACCCCACAGAGTTCACAAGACGGCGAAGACCCTCCACGAAGATGCATCACCGGTGGAAGCAGGGATGTCGCAACCCCGTAGGCTATATACCTAGCAGATGGCGGGGACATCTTCAGTCCTCAGCTAGTCACCACCTCAACAACAGGTAAGCCATGCAGTGTCACCTATGTATACATATTTACATAAGTCAATATTAACCAGTCCGTACAGGAGTAATTTCATAACAGCATCAAATACCTTACACACAAGGCAATCCAAGGAACAAACTGGGTAGTTCGGGTTGATTTGAAATTACTTGGGAAATTTTTATCCTATTACTTTTCTAGATTTAATTTTTATTAGAAGTTACTTAAGAATTATGAGAAAAAAAATTAAAAATTATGGAATAAATACAAGTGAGAAAAAAAAAACAAAACATGCATGGACTCATAAGTCGTTGATGCAGCATTTTTTTTTTATTTGTGTAACAAATCGTTATTTGATTCATTAATAAATATCAGATACGTTAAGAAAATTTTATTATTAATTTGATAGATTTGTAAATGCACTTTCAATAATCACTGCATGCATTTTAACAACTTCATTTTAAAACCATTCCGTTCATTTTATTATTGCCAAAATATCTTCCCTAGAGGATTATATAATTTTAATTTTGTCGAACGAATATAAATTAGCTTCGAAATTACTTGGGGTCTATTATCGTTACCTATACGGGTAATATATTGGATGTATACTAAAGAAAATTGAAAAAGAAAAAGGATATTACACGTGGAAACATCATGTATATGCCACACGCAATAATATTATACTTAAACCCCAAATGAAATTTAACAAGACCATAATAAAATGTACTGATCAAAAAGAAATATATTTTAACAATGAAATACAAAAGTAAAATCATTGAAAGTTTCCTGCCATAGATAGAATATACTCCCATGGTTTATTTAGTTTACAACGGTTATAAAATTAAACTTTTATTCTTAAGATTCAAGGTGAATTTTCAACTATTTTTGGATATAGAAACGAGGATTTTTGTAAACAATGTGTGCATTTTAAATAAAGAAATAACAAAACACCAAATTAAAATAACTATTTTTTTTATTTCTTAATGATATTTACAACTGTATTAAAGAAATTTAGTAAATTTGAGCATATAGATATAATGAAGGGAAAACACTAGTTGAGAAACTACCCAATGGTAGTAGCACTCTAATGACATGTCTACATTAGGAGATCACGAGGCCATCTTCTTTTCGGACGCCTCGGAGGGTTAACAGGAATTGAAGAGGAAGCAAGGTTAGAAACGAGAGGATTGGGATGATTCTGAAGTTTATTATGGAAGAATAGGTACCTGGATTGGGCCAGATCTAAAACATAACAAACACTAAGGTCATTACGGAGGGTTTTATTTGTAACAAAGTAGGGATTATTGAGGATTTTACGAAGGATTTCGGATTGTAAGGATTGGATACGAGAAGAATTCAATGGTTTAATGGAGCCCCATAGCTCGACTCCGTAAGTCCAAATAGGCCTTATTATAGTCATGTATATGAGTGTCTTGTAATTAATTGGAAATTTAGAGCGTTTGTCTAATAAGTGCTGAAGTAATCGGAAACGACGAGTGGTTTCTTGTCGTTGCAGTCTGGTATGATCACTAAAATTGAAATTAAAAATTTCTTCTCATTTAGCAGTAACATAAAAATTCAAATCCTTTACATTTCGGCCTATCGACTCATACGGAACAACTACAGCGTTTGTAACTGATAATAATATTAGTTTATATGCGATGATAAAAAGAAAAAAAAAACGTGGTACTTCCTTTAAAAACCTTTAAGGAGAATACAATGAGGAAGAGAGGAAATAAATTGTAGCAATTGTATATTTTTAAATATGTTACTGTAATTACTTCTACGGTTAAACCAAAAAATAATTTGGCAATGTATCAATTCAGAAAGGTATACAAAAAAGGTTAAGATGTCGAAATTCTAAGATCGCTTTTGGATTTACAACTGATAAGATTTCTGCCTTGACCGCAATGTTGATAACACACATTAGCATTCCAATGGCCATTTTCTTATGAATCGAGTAGATTTCTTATATGATTAAAAATATATTCTGTCTATTGATTTATAAAAATGTCATTCCATATACTTTTTTTAAATTTTTTTTTATCTATAGTAAATTTACTAAAAAGTTACCGCTGATCTATAAATATTTTTAATAGTATATATATTATAATAATTAAAATATACTTACTATGAAAGTAATTCTAGTACTGTCACGTGACAGTAAATCTTGTACCAGCAAAGGGATGACGGGTATATAACAGGTAAATAAACGAATAGCTGTTTTGGTGAATTGAAAAAAAAACTAGTAACTGCATTACAATAAATAAATAATTTAATGTAAACTAAAACAGTCAAAATAGTATTAAATATAAAATCAACCAATATTTTCTTTCCGCGTTTATATTTTGTGAACAGGAAGTAGGATGTTCAGCCTTCGAAGACAATTATTAAAAAATGCTAGTTAAAGATTTTTCTAGGAGTTTCACTTTTCTTTCTGGTTTTTTTGCAGTCCAAGTACAAGCAATATTCTATTATTTTTTTGTTCATAAAATTTTTAACTTTACTGTAATTGTCATAATTATCTGTACACATTACTCGCTAATTTTTGTGGAATTATTTGTAATTTATGTTGACAATGAAAAGCCATTAAGTTTTTTTTCTTCTATCTTCTCATTGAGAACGGGAATAAGGTAGAGCGCTGAGCTTATAATGCTCTAGATCCCAGGTTTGAATCCTGCCTCGTGGCAGATAAATAATTTTAGTATTCTGTTTCATCAGCGGTGGATCATCCCTGGGATCGGGATACTCTTGAGGTATACCCAATGTCTATAAAGTTGGTATCCTTAATAATATAATTAATTAAGGGGGAAAAACATGGTGGTTGAGCGTGATCTTGGTCAAATAACCTCCCCTAGCACAACCGTTGACCAAGAAACTGCACATTTCCCTAATAGCCTTAATAATAGGGTCTTAATTTACCCTTTATGGGTTATAGTTTTTTTTTTTCTCTTTGCTCTTTGAGATATTATATTTTTATTGGTTGTTTAATTCATTCAGCGTAACTAAATCCAAAGTATATTCCGATCAAATGCCTAAAAAGGTCAAGACTTTTATAACATTATAAAGAGTAAAATATAAAATAAAATTTACATGAAGTATTAGATATATCAATTTAATAAAACATATTGTACTAGAAGGGTTTTCTATTTTCTATAGTTTCTTGTAAGTATGCGACAGTTAGGTTTGTAATACAAGATTAGAATGTTCCAAAAAACCTAAATGCGACAGTTAGGTTTGTAATACAAGATTAGAATGTTCCAAAATAGAACAGAAATAAAATGTTATAAGTAAAATGACAAAAAATAATGTATGACAATATGACAATATTTAGGAACAATAGAAAATAGAATATTCAGGAAAATGGGACAGAGCTCCGAAACTTTGAATATATAAACGAAAAACACAAGTAATAAAAAAAAATTCCCAACGAGGAAGATTTATTTTTCGCATATCTTTGAAAAAAAAAGACATATTACAAGAATAATACATAAAGTAAGTCATTTTATAAAAAAAATTAAATATAAATTAATACACTTCTTGTTGAATCACTTCTTTGTTTACAACTTCAAGAAATGACTTTTTGCTTCACCGAAAACTAAATTTTAATTTTATAGGGAAGATTTTTCCTAATTAAAACAATTACTTTTTCAAAATAAGAGTGCTATTAAAAAAATGAAAAATAAAATCATGGGCCATTATGTTCGTAATCAAGTTACAAGGTCATTACCATTTTAGATGAATGAACTTTTGAAGACTGAATTTGAAAGTATAACTAACCGAATATGGTTTAATAGATCAAAAAAAGCGATACTTAGAAGCTCGATTAAGTCTTTATCAAGTCACTTAGAAAGATATTATCATACTTAACAGTCGAATCAGTATTAATTTATAATTATTCAGAAAATTAACCCAAGGGACTCACTTGCCAGATTCGTCTCCCTCCCCCCCTCCCCCAGGATGAAATATTTTATCTTTTAGAAAACTTTACCATATGTATTGGAAAATCAGATATAATATACTTCATATCTTTCATCAGGATTTCTCTCAGCGACCATTGTGACATTGAAATATCTTTGACAGTGGGATATTAGAACATAGATATTAGATTAAGCCATTCAGATCTCTCTATCTTGTTATCCTTCTTTCCCTTTATAGTTTGGATTGATCTATTTATAATGTTTCATTTCGAGCTTTTGGCTTATTTTAGTATAATTATTACATATATATGTGTGGTTTTCATAAATTACAGCGTTGATATTATTTGATATTTAATTGTATAGATTACAGGAATGTAAAAATAAAAATGTGTACATATATACATATGAAAAAAAATAAAAGTACCTAAAATCGATTATGTATAAATATAGCTATATTCTTCATTACTGGTAAAATTATGTGACTAAAAATATTTCATGGCTCTTAATTCTTTATTATATCAAATAAATAATTAAAATATAAAGTCGTAAAAGGAAATGGTTAATGAAAAAAAATATATAAATATATTACATCAGACGGCTGGGAAAAACCATATGATTATTAATGGTTTAAAATAATATTTTTTATCTATTATTTTATACGTCGATTATTTTTACTTTTATTTTCATTTGTCTGAAAGTACCTATTTCTGTAAAAAAAAAAAAAATGCTTAGTGAAAATTGTGTTATATTGCACAATGCGTTGCATATATTACATTTATTGCAAGTACAAAAACGTTTCTTTCTATGTTATCCGAGGTGGCCTAAGGATCTAAGGACATTTCTCCTCCTTCTATGTTTTCAATAGATTTTTAAGAAGTTCATCGAAAAAATCACAAAAAGCAAATTTTTTTTTATTTTGAAAAATCTAAACATGCCAAACATATCCCTTTACAACCATTTCAATTAAGAGATTTTTAGCAAGAATTATCCCGAAAACAGTAGAATTCAGGTCCTAATATAGTTCCTATTTAACTAATACCCTTTCGTTTGATACCTTATTCATCAAAATCCATCACTTCTCAATGCCGAAAAATTTATCT